TCATTGTTAAATGAATCTGTGCTTTCCAGGAATTTCCTCTTCTTTTCCTGATGTCGTTCCTCTATTTGAAGAAGTTCAGCCTCTAGTTTGCGCTGGAAGACATATAATCAGGCTTAATTATTTTCTCTAAAGCAAATACAAAACACAGAAAATGTCTCATTTTATAATGGTCCATACTTTCAAATACTATGTTGAATAATGTTTTGAATTTTTAATTTAAATAATTTATTATAGGAGTCTAGCTAAGATTTAAAAAACCAAAATGCAGCATAAATGGACGACTGATTAAAGTCAACGCTAAAGCTGTTTAAGGCCTGAGCAATTCCTTTGGAAAAAAACAATTAGTGAAGCAGTAAAGACTGATAGGATGCCTCAAAATTCTTAAGCTCACATGTATTTCTTAATTAACATACTTTCCATTATAAGGTTCTATGTTACAGTTTTTAATGACGAACTTATTAAACCTCTGTGAAAGGTCCACTCCTTTAAACCTCTTCCCCAAATCAGGAACAGGTAAGATTGAAATATTTAACAGGTATATTTATGCATGGTATAAGAATCATGTTAGCTGGGCGTGGTGGCTCATGCTTGTAATTCTTGCACTCTGGGAGGCCAAGGAGGGAGGACTGTTTGAGGCCATGAGGTCGAGACCAGCCTGAGCAAGAGTGAGACCTCTTCTCTACAAAAACAGAAAAATTAGCCAGGCAGCGTGGTGATACACCTGTAGTCCCAGCTACTCAGGAGGCTGAGGCAGGAGGATCACTTGAGCCCAGGACTTTGAGGTTGCTGTGAGCTCTGATGACTCCACTGCACTCTAGCCTGGGTGACAAAGCAAGACTCTGTCTCGGGAAAAAAAAAAAAAAAAAATCATGTCACCTGGGATTTCTGGCATAGGCCCATTTTATTATAACAAATGTTATGTACCTGATGAACCATTAAAGATTGGACCTGTCGTTTGAGGACCTGCATTCTAGCTGTTGTGACAACTGACCGAACGTCTGGTACCACACTCTCACTAAGGATTTCACTGATGAGGCGGTGGTTTCTCTGGAAACGGGCACTGGCTATATGCTTCATTGAGAAGCCATCATCATAATCTGGAATGAACAAATTATTCTGGAAATTAGGTCACCAGTCACCATAAACAGGAGAGTGTAACAAGGTTAATAATTACCAAGGAACTATGGCCCTCACTGGCCTAACGAGTGGGCCTGACCAATGTCATGGGAGCACTGGGGCAGGCACTTCATAAGAACCACACACGGGACATCATGTGTCCACTGGCTAAGGTATTAGTTTTTCTTACAATCTTTAAGTGATGCTATATGTCTGAGAAGGATTTGGCTGAAACACTAATGAGATACAACCATGTCTCTTTTGGCCTCACAATCAATGTGAAGGCTACACACGACGGCAGTAACTGAAATTCTGCCCAAGGTTTCACTCTCTTGGTAGTAATTTAAGGCATTTAATAACTGATGAACATTATATGAACTGGGTGGTATCTTTGTCACCGCAGCACTTTAAAATTGATAAAGATGCCCATTTATAAAATTAACATCACAACAGAGAAAACATCTCTAGCAATATTCAATTTCCCAGCATTTACATTTTATTAGATTAAAAAACCATTAGGGCACTTAAGCAATTTTAGAGAAAAAAAATGTGATTCCAAATTTACTTTTAAATTTTGTCGATTTACCACTTACCCAGTTAGTTGTTGTCAAGGGGTAACAGTGTTACCCAAGTTCATATACACGTGGTCTGGGTCTGGTCTGGTTTATATGCTCATTTTGAGTAGCAACCCAACAGTGTTCCCTTAATCTCAGCCTATGCTCTATTACCTTCACAGTTTTCACATACCTGCTAACAACCTGTACTAGTATTCGCGCAGTATTTTTCTTTAAATTAATTCATTTAAAAAAAAAAGAGCTTTCTCTTAAGCAATACACACTAAAACAAAAGTTCCTCTCTAAACCACCTAATCATCTCAGTGTCCCACCAGAGTGGAGAGTGCACACTTCAGGAAAACCTGCTACAGAGGCCCACGTTGTGCTGCTATGTCATGGTTTAACACCTCCATTATACTTCTAAAATGAAAACTACTGGGATAAGACACAGTGGTTTTTTTTTTTTTTTGAGACAGAGTCTCACTGTGTTGCCTGGGCTAGAGTGCCATGGCGTCAGCCTAGCTCACAGCAACCTCAAACTCCTGGGCTCAAGCGATCCTTCTGCCTCAGCCTCCCGAGTAGCTGGGACTACAGGCATGCGCCACCATGCCCGGCTAATTTTTTCTATATATTTTTAGTTGTCCGATTAATTTCTTTCTATTTTTAGTAGAGATGGGGTCTCGCTCTTGCTCAGGCTGGTTTCGAACTCCTGAGCTCAAACAATCCGCCCGTCTCGGCCTCCCAGAGTGCTAGGATTACAGGCGTGAGCCACCGCGCCCGGCCCGTTTTATTTTTTAAGGAAGAGTTTTTCACTTTTAAGGTTATATATGATACATTTGTGCTAAGTTTATCTTTTTTTGTTGTTGTTTGCTTTCTTCTTTCATTTATATGGTCCCAATGTTGACCATCGGTAGGGGAAATAAAGTCTAAGCAATTTGGGCTTGTCCTTCCTTATACTTTAGTTGTCTGCTTCCTATTTTGGGGGGGGTGGGTGAGGGGTTTATCTTTTCTAGTTATTATCTAATTCACCAGCTATTTATCCCAAGAATAGTGTCTCACTGAAAAAAGCCTTCACTGTCTTGTGCGGATAATTGCCTGTGTCCTGTCCACCTTTTGACAGTTCTCTATTACAGAAGTCAGCAGCTGTTTACTCATGCAGATGCCACCTTTCTCTTGGTTTTATGTGCATTTCCACCTCCCAAATCTTCCTCTTTCTGTTCAGTCTAAGAGGCCCCAGGTCTACAGTCATTCTCATACTGGCATCTTAATTACTACCTGTTCTTTCTTACTAGCAGCTTTAAGATCTGATCTTAAACTTAAAAACAGTATGAGCAGAAGTTTGAGATTGTTCCCGAGTGAATCTCTTCAGTCTATCTCAATGTTCATGCTGTTAATGAAAACCATTTTCTACTTATGGTTTCTATGTTGCAAGCCTTTGTTTCTTCTTGCACTGCCCCCACCCCCTCCTCGTAATATGTGCAGATTGGACCTTCTTCTACTCCTTGGTTCTGTATGTTTCTCTTGCATTACTCATCCCCTTTGAGTAATTAAGGTATGCTTATGCTAGTGTGTCTTTAGCACTGCGGATTCTGCTTAGCACTCAATGCTGTTTCTATTCTACATTCTATTCTCCATAGAATCATATTCTACTGTCTGTATTTAGGAGAACATTTGTCAATATCCCAGTACATTCTTTTAAAAAATTACTTTTCCCTCCTTTTATCAATTTATTCATGTCTTTAGATGGCAGTACTGCTTCCTCCCTCACTGGTATCTTCTTTGCAGTTCTTACAAGCTTCCTCTTTGCTACTGCCACCTTAAGATGGGATCTCAAATTATTTTCTTGATATTGTTGTTGCTTTTAGCTAGAGCTTTCAACCTTTTCCACAACACAGTAGCACACAGAGAAATATTAATATTTACACCACATGCTAGATATGTGGATGAGCGTGCTCATAGCTGGAGGTAGCTATCTCTGGGGCTCCCTGCAGCTTCAGACCCTGCTTGGCTGCAGAGGACCAGAAGTGCAATCTGCACACCTGCAAACTATTCATGGAATGCCAACTGGGAAGCTCTGCGATTTGTGTGTATGTATAAAATTTGTATGGGTATACCCTCATGGGTGGTATCATGAGCTATATTTATAAATTCTTGTTGGATTTCTCAATTAAATGGAAAGGAAATCTCGTAATGTTTCCATATACTCATTCACCTTCTCCCTTAAGAGATTTTAATTCAGCAAATTTAGGGAACCAATAAGAAGACAGGTTATAACTAGAATGCATTTAGCTTTATAAAAGCAGCTGAGGCAAAATCCCAATTGTGAATCAAAAACCTTTCATGCATTCTGAGTACAAAGATTCTGATGAACGATGAATAGTTTTTGCTATTTTTTGCACCGAAAAGCGTATTTCCTGCGGGAAATTCACATATAAATCTTACTCAAAATAATCAAGATACTGAAATGGCACTTAAATTATGCTTTTTTCCCCATTTAGGATAAATAAAAACTTACACGATTTCTCATGTTTTAATTCTCAGAGAAAGCATAAACAAAACCCCACTTTTTTTTTCCTTACCATCTGGATCTTCAGCAGGCTGAATGCTCATGTACGGTTCTCCTTTCTCCATGCGAGACTGTCTCTGTCGACTTTCTTCCTCTAAAGCAGCTTCTGCACGACTTTTTGCATTTATGTAAGCAAGGTACGCCGAGGAATTATGCTAGGCCTTCATAGATTCATTGTACTCTATCTGAAATTCAAATGTTTTTCAGTTTTATAATTAACATTTTGCAGGTTACAATATAGACCTATATTATCTCATCTGAACATCAAAAGATATGATGTAAGCAGATGTTGTGATAATCTCCTTTTTACAGACAAGGAATCTGAGGCCTAGGGAAATTAAGTGATGATCCAGACAGACGGAGCCTCAGTGCAGCCTCAGCTTTCTGATCAAATCTTACACTTCTTTAACAAATAATAAGCCAATGCCTATGTACTTTACACTGTATCCATCCCACTGCAACCCCCACCCTACCTTTTCTGCTTCGTATTCGTTTAAATATTCTTGTTTCTCTTCATCGGTGAGATCTTGCCACATGCCACCAATAATCTTGCCAATCTCCCACAACTTTAGGTCAGGGTTAGAAGCCTTTACTTGGTCCCAGACCTTAAAAAGGAAAGAGGTGAAATTTCAATACTGATGCCTAATAGAAAAGACTGATACAGATTTTACAAAATGCTTTTTAATATGCAAACTTTTAAACATAAAAGCAGAGAGAATGGTATCAAATTCCTATGTACTCATCAGCCTGCTCCAACAATTATCAACAGCTGGCCAATCTCATTTCATCTTTACTCTGTTGGATTATTTTAAGTTGGATCTCAGATATTATGTCACTTCACTCATAAATACTTCAACTTGATAGGCCAAGAATATCTCCCATCACTATAGACACTTAATATGAGTTAACTCAATAATATAGTCTATGTTTCTAAAAGTTCATGTGAATCTGGAAGAAAAGTGGTTAATTTGCATAACAATATCACATCGTTAAATACATATATAATAATTATAAACAGAAGTTGAAAAATTGCTAGTAGTAACTAAAATGCTCTTCCCCTTTTAATAAAGATATGAGCTAAGTTTTTTAATTTAAGAGTGATGTAGGGCCGGGCGCGGTGGCTCACGCCTGTAATCCTAGCACCCTGGGAGGCCGAGGCGGGCGGATCGTTTGAGCTCAGGAATTCGAGACCAGCCTGAGCAAGAGCGAGACCCCGTCTCTACCAAAAATAGAAAGAAATTAATTGGACAGCTAAAAATATATAGAAAAAATTAGCCGGGCATGGTGGCGCATGCCTGTAGTTCCAGCTACTTGGGAGGCTGAGGCAGTAGGATTGCTTGAGCCCAGGAGTCTGAGGTTGCCGTGAGCCAGGCTGACGCCACGGCACTCACTCTAGCCAGGGCAACAAAGTGAGACTCTGTCTCAAAAAAAAAAAAAAAAAAAGAAAAAAAAAAAAGAGTGATGTAGGTTCATCAACAAGAAAACTGGAAGATTCAAGGAAGTATAAAGAAAATAAAAATTACCATAAGCTTACTGCTTAGAGATAACCATTGTCTTCTGGCTTTTTTTTTTCCCCTTCAAACTACGTGGTTGCTATTATTTTTAGAAAAATAAGATACTAGTACATGTAGTCTCATGTATTCCTTTTTTCACTTAACGTGTTTCTCATGTTAAGTGAGTTTCTCATGTTAAGTTAAGTTTCTCATGTTAAATATTCTCCAAAAGACATTACTTTTATGGCTACAAACATTCTATCTTAAGAATTTTAACAGTTTATTTAATCATGTTCTTTCTTACTGGATTTTAGTTCTGAAATTTTAAAATCAGAATTAATTGCTTTAAAAACTACAATTTTTGTCCTTTTCTCTGAATATGCACAGAAAAGCTGGCTAAGCCAATCTGAAATCAGATGCAGATCAAAGAAATAAAGAAGTAAAGACAGCAGTCCTTACTCCTACTTTTCTGGGCACCTACCTTTCTGCTGTACCTCATGTAGGGCATCAGCGGCTTATCTGGTGGCTTTGGGGGTTTTGGAATCGTAATACCAGAGGATGCCTACAAAAGAGTTAAATACACTCATTATTCAATTGCAAGGAGTTCACCGGCAAACTGAAAAGAGAGTCCCTTAAAAAATTCTAATGCGCCTTTCTTCTACTCGTCCATGGATACAAGATTCTTATATATTCTCCACTGAAAATAGCTATCACTGCAAATTCAGAAATGTTCACATCAAAAGAAAATGACTTTAAGCACATAATTTTTCAATGTTTTACTTAGCAGTTGCCACTGCTTTGACAACTTGGCTGTAAGAACAAATAAAATATTACATAATAATCCACACATTGAAAATATATAGTTATCAAGCGTCTCACATTTAGGACATTACCTGGCACCCTTTATTTTGCCCAATTACCATTATACATACAGTCAACACTTGATTATCTGCAGCAGAATCTGAACCCTTAAGCACTTACCACACTCACACTGTCTACAGGGAACTCTGTATCTATCAGCACTGTGTCAGGAATGCACCCCCACATCAACAACAACACAAAACCACCTCTCAGGTTCGAAGACAAACACAAAAACAGAAAGGAAAAGAAAAAATAGACCTTCTGGTCTCCTTTACCATGACCAGAGACTTTATTTCTCTTGAGGTTCTATGTCTGTTATCTAGCGGATGTCTTATAAAGGAAATCGAGAAGAGTGAACTAAAGTCACACTGTTCTTTGTCCTTAGTCCTAATCACAGTGTGGGAGCAAACAAGTTTATCAGGAACAGAGAACTGGCAGACACGGGGTCTGATTATGTTATTTTTGAGGTCTTATATCAAGAAGCTCCATTCCATTAAAAATTTTTGGTTTTGTGGGAAAGACACAAGAGGAAAAGTAAAGATGGGATGTGAAGGAAAAGGGAGACAGAAGAAAAGGAGGGGGAGGGGAGAAGACTGAAAAATTTTTTTTTAAATGTAAAGAAAAAAGTAGGTGAGAAAAAATAAGAAAGGAAGGAAAGAGAAAGATTGAGTGATCGGTTCTTTCTATGGTCTGAGATCTAGGTGAGAGATGCCAGACAGCTTCTGGTGGACCTTACAGATAATGCCAATCCAAGAGTGACTATTTGTGAACTTTTTAGTCTCCTCTTATCATACATGACTGCATTTGACTAAGAACCCAGAGTAAGAAAAATAATGGCCGAATCACGCTTAATTTCCAAATTTCTGGGAGATCCCTGATACCGACTCTCCCTGCCAGGCTGGGTGAAAGACGTGCTGGCTTTATTCTAATCATCAAAACACAGATTGGCAAATCTCCATAAGAAAACTAAAGTGACATTTTGTTCTCTCCCCCTTCTGTTGCAGCTGTGATAAGCCCCAGGGACAGTCCTCCATTCTGGGCTGGGACCCAGCATAACCTTAGTTTCATTCAAGGGTTTAAGGATTAGCACAGTTTAAGGATTAGTTTAAGGTTTAAGGATTGTGTCCGTCCCGTGTGATCAAGAAATGCTTCCTGTTCCTACAAGGGTCTCCCTCCTTCCCTGTATGCTTTTTTTTTTTTTTATTTCAGCCTATTATGGGGGTATAGATGTTTAGGTTACGTATGTTGCCCTTCCCCCCCCAAGTCTGAGCTTCAAGCATGTCCATCCCCGGATGTGCACATCGCACTCTTTGTGTATGCGTATACCCGTCCCCTCCTCCCCCTCCCCCGTATGCTTTTTAATAACGCTGCTTCTTCACAGACGAAGTTGTTAGAAAGCATTTCATCTTTGAAGCAGCATTTCCTCTCTTTCTGCTCCTCCCATGCATTCTTACCACACCTCACGCTGGTGCCCATGCAGACAGACCCTGTTTTTAGCCAACAGTGGGCAGTGAGTGGGGGGAGCCACGGGCATGGAAACTGTCAATGGTGGGCTGAGCAGCCAGTAGGAGAAGATCTGTGTCAGAGTTTACAGGAGTTCTTTCAGGGGAAAGTGGAATTCCTATGAGGCTAACCTTATGTTATGGATTCAGAGGAAGAGACACGTAAAAGTCTGCTTCTTCACACATGAAGTTATTTGAAAACATTTCCAATTCATAGCCAACAAAAACCTTCAGAATTCCACGAAGTGGTTTATGAATAAAGTTGGAATTGTGCCCATAATTGAAGGTGGTAAGACTACTGCAAACAATTCTTTAAAAAATTAGATGTAAAGAATTCTAAAATGCCTATGCTTTCAAGCTTTAAGTATGAATTAAAAGATGTAAAAAACATAGTAATATTTGCTCTTTGATATTTTTCAAAGAATCGCATTTTATAACATTAACAGATTTACTTATTTTCTCTTTCTCCCAAAGGACGGCACACAAATCAGCTTTACATTTAGGCCACATTTTTATTACATTGACCAGTCAACTTACCGCGCCTCCCCCCAAACAATAAGAAAGTGAAATTCCAGCTGGTTTTCAGGATGGTAAAGATTTATATCATTACGTACCCCCAATTTATTTAACATCTCAGACAGACATCTTTCTACAACGTCTTAAACATTTCTTTACTCCTTAAAAAAAAGCTAAACACACTTTAACTTTTTCTTAGTAAGGCTCGATTAGAAATAACCACTGCTTTGCTATGCTGTGACCCTCTTTACTAAATGGCCCAAGGGTTATGCTTTTGGAGTGTGTGTTTCCTTTTTTGATCTGTTTCTTTCCTTGTTGCTGCTAGGAAACCCACCTCTAGCAGCAACTCTCCCTCTTTCCAATTTGCAACGATTTGGAGGGAAAACTGCTTACTTAAGAGTAAGGTTCTAGGAAATCTCCTACGAGTAATGTCCATGATTTTGTGAAATTTACCTTGGCTAGTCAAAAGTTTTTTGTTGTTTCTTTCCCAATTCTCAGCTGTTTCTCTGGTAGGGTTTTATTTAAGGGGTTTCTTCTGAGATAGAATTTCCGCTAATGTACAGAAATATGCTGTTTTTAATATTTTTGTCTCAATCTGTTTTCATACCTGTACTAAGAGAATGCTAATCATGATCTGAATAAAGAAGTGACTAGGAGTGAATTCCAACTCATAGCTCTCATAAGCACTCCAAAAGTGCTTATTGTCTGAAAACTATCCAAGTATACTGGAATCATCAGGGAAACCCAACATTCTGTATAGTCAGGAAGCTACTTCACAGGGCTTCATAGACACCACCACCAAATAGAAGTCCTCCCAAAAGTAATGCATAAATGGGGTCATATTAAAATTAAAATACTTTTGTAATAGTCAAAATCAGCATTATTGAGTCCCAACACTGCTTAAATTAAATATATAAAAACAGATAGTGTAAAACCTGAAAATTTTCTAAGCCTTTCTTCATACAGCAGTATGATTATACCTCAACCTGGTGTTAAGAGGACAAAAATACAAAGAAAACAACCACAAAGGACCAAAACACCAAATTTCTGCATGCCCAACAACTTTCTATACTAATCTACCCTGAAGTAGTGCTCACTCCAGATGCTGGGTTCTTAAAATTCACCAGGAAGGGACGGGAAGAAACAGATGATCGACCCCGGCCCAGAGACAGTGATGCACTTTCTTTTCCTAGTAAGACTCCACTGAATGATCTCACTTTATTAACGGTGAACCCCCACAGCTACTTTCAAGTGAGAAACAAAATGCTTATATAAACCGAGACCAAATTATTTTAATATTATAGTTACCATTTCTATTCCATTAACATAGATAATCAAGAGGTGACTGTATAGAGCTATTAAATGTAATCATTCTCTCATTTACTACCCATGAATTTGTGCATTAACATGAATGATCCATAATCGATTCTGCCCATTGTTTAAATTAAAATGTTCTTTATCATTTGAAAACCTTGCCAACTGTTACACTTGTGAAACAACACATTTAGGCCAGGGAAAAACATGTACTGATGCACATAAAAATTGTATGCATTGTGAAATGCATACATACACACACTTTGTCAGAATTCTTTTCGGATACCATGAAATATGCATGGCACATAAAACTTGATATGCTTATGAAGTACAAATTATGCAGAAACAATGAAAAATTTAGACAAACAAAACCTATCAAGCTAAGCAATATGCTTACCAAGATAGACATTCAGTTTGATAGCTACAAACTTTCAGTTCTAGCTTGACTACAGGGTGAGAGGGCTTTTTTGAAGTTACATTAATAGAAGGTACTTATTATTTATGAATATATCAAATGAAAACTTGGTATTAAAAAGTATACAGCCATTCTGGGTTGTATAAATTCTCACCAACAACACATTTCAATGTATGTTAAATATTTGACTTTTGGATTTATTTTTAGTAAGTCATTTTTACAGTAATTGCTTTTTTTGGTACCTAAACTTCCTTGAAGTTTAAGATGATCCCAAAACAAAAACTTAGAAGTATATCATTCAATTTTGACATGTTAGATGGATCAGTTAAATAAAACGTCCTAAGTTTCAGAAATCATATCTCTCATAGGATGGATTAGAAATGTACTTTTTATACATATCTGGTTTGATACTTCAAATTAATTGCATTCAACTTTTATTCTGCAATTCTTTGAGATGATATTAAAATCTTTTTCTCTTTGTAATTACAGAAAAATGAGTCTCAATTAGAAAGTGAACTACTAAATCCAAAAGACAAATAATTATGTGTAGCAATTCAAACTGGTAGGCCAGCCAAAAGCTTTCCAGCCCTGAAAAAGCCAGGTCTGAAAGCCCAGCCTTTACTAAGCAACTGAGTCCTTGAGACTAATGCCAATTACCTTAAAAAAATGAAAGATACTCTTCATTTCAAAAAGGGTATTTAACCATAAGAAATTTTTGATTTGTCTACACATAGTACAAGCATTAAGTGCTCAAGGCTTTATCCCTACTGACCACCAAACAGAATGGACTTTTCTTTTCTTTCACATACATATCCAGATCTCACTATTTTTTCAGTGTAAGATCGTACGACGAATGTTTAAAATAGTCAAAAAGCCAGGTTAAAAAAATTTTTTTAATGGCTGTGCTCATGATTCAAAAGGACCTAACTCTGAAGGCATTTCTGGTTAATTCCAGTTGTTTGCCGGAGGCTGTAATAGTTGATTCTCCTACCGTGACCCGGCTGTTGGTGCCCGGGTTCCCTCCCAGCCTGTAGTTGTTGTAGGCGAGATGACTGTATGGATTGTATCCCACAAACCCTGGTGTGCTGGGCATTTGCTGATGGAAACAAATGAGACAAAAACACGAATGAGAAATGAGCTCAAACGAGGAAAACACAGAAATGAAAAATGATCTGCATATGGCATGCAAAAGCAACCTGAATTTAAACAAGCAATGATGTGTTGTAATTGTTCTTTCATTGAGGAAATTCAATTTTTCTTTCATTGAGAAACCTGTCTGCAAGTGTTTTTTTCTTTTTCTTTCTTTTTTGCAGGGGCTGGGGGTGTTTGTGTGAGCATGAACACGCATGGTTTGTTTTTTGAGATAAGCAATCCAATGAAGTGTTTCAAACATTCAGGATTACTTTATGGTCAATAGTATGATGTAACAACTTAGCGGTATACAATGTCTGAGATAGGAAGGCTTGATGTGTGATAAACTAGAACTCTGAAAACACTACATGCAAAACAAAACACAATTTATTTGACAGTTATGTGGATGCCACCAATGTATTCATCTACTAAAAACAAATAAAAACAAGAAATGAATCTGCTTTCAAAGACAGTTTTAAACCATTTTATGTAATGTGAGAAATGAGAAGAGACTCAAATCGGGAAGCCAGGATTTGTCAATTGAAAAGAACATATGTTGGATTCAATGGATGTAACATATATGATTTCAAAACAAAGACTTGTAAGAAATGCATGGATTTTATTCTGGGGTACTATCTGATCTTTTTAACCCAGTCATTCTTTTATAGGATTTCTCTTCCATTTCTTCTTTGATCCATCTTCTATAGGTCAATCATGAACAATTTCTGCATTTAATCTTAATGTGAACTATTTTTCTAGTTGATAGACTTGAACTTTCTTTTTTCATCTAGTTTCCTGATAGCTCTCACCCTTTCAAAACACAGCTGCTAGTTTCAGCAACAGAACTCTTGGTTTTTGTGAACTATGTGTTGATGTAATCACAAATGGGCTCTTATATAGCAGTGGCCTTGTGGTTAATACAATGACGTTCAATGTTCATGAGAACCAAGGTATAATGCATAAAAAGAATGTAGCAAAAAGAGACCAGGGTGTTTTACCCAAGGAAACTCAATCAAAACAAGTGACAGTAACTTCATTTTTACATGCAATTAACAATATCAGTTCTGAATTGTGTAATGGAAAATACACTTAACACATTCCAACTAAGCTGTAGGTGACACAAAACACAGCTTCCTAAAACATGCCGCTGCACATATCCTTAGTGTCCCGAAAGAAAGACATTCAAGCAGATATTACATTTGATACTCTTTGGGAGAAAAGAGAACAACTGATCAATTTCTAGTTTATATAGTTAGAGAAGACGCAAATCAAACATATGTTAAGTAGGCAGAACACAGATGAAGTATCAAAGACACAAAAGAAGTGTATATTACTTGGAGTGGTACATTGGGGTGGTTGTGGTGGTGGTGGTGGTGGTGGTGGTGGTAGAGATAATGGTAAGAAGGAAGGAGAATAATTCATTTAGTATCCATTCTGTTGGATGTTCTAATCCCTAGTCTTCTATATTTTGTGTGTTAATGTGAAATTATAATGGTACAGAGATAATGACTAAAAAAGGCAAAAAAAAAATCCCTTTCTACATATGAGAAGTCATAAGGGGACACTTGGTTTTTGAAATACTTTAATCTCAAAAAATCAAGTTTGTCCTCCAGATATTATACATTGTCGAAAACAGTATTTACGTCAAAATGACACCTTCAAAAGTTGCATAAACAATGAGAATCACTGTTCAACATACTGAGGCAATAATGTAAGAAAAATAAGGGAACTAAGAAAAAATATTGAAATTAAAACAATATAATTATACCATTTCCAAAGCTGAAGTACATGGTTAGGTCTTTGAGGTCAGAATCTCAATTGTTCAACTCCACCTGTATAGCCACTAGCAGAATGCCATGGAGATGGTCATAAGAAATGTTTTTTCATTTAAGAAAGAAAACAAACCAAGCACAGGACTTTAAGATCTATTGGAATTAACTTTGAAGACTGTACTGTATATTATAGAAATTGAACCGAGAACTTATGATACAGTATCTCTTTTTAAAGCATCTCACTAAGAAAAAACAAATTGTTGATAAATGTAACTAAAACATATATCTGAGGGTTAGTAAGATTGGTTGTTATCTAATGGAGAAAACAAAATTACACAAGAACCTAATTAGTAGTGAAAAGTAGACTAGCCTGAAATTTAGGTGGGAGGGGGTATGGAAGGAAGGACTAACAGCTATTAAAGAACTGATTTTGTAGGCTATGGTCATGTTAACAGTGTTTTACAAAAACAAACAAACAAAAAAAACCCACCCCAAAAACCAACAAGGAAGCCATTTCAGCAAGGCCTGAACAGTTCCTGTTAAATTCGTTTTGTGGGTTGGAAAATTATTTTACATGCTGACCAAGCTGGGCCAGAGATTGCTGTGTGGAAAAACTAGTTCACAACTATTTTTTAGATACCTTGAAACATATATATCCCTAAACCGATAAAATATAATTTATAGAGTGGAATAAGATTCAATAGCAAGATCTGACCCATAGATAATGAAATCCTCACTTGAACAGCTTGAAAATAATGATTTACAATGAGTGTAGTTATAGAACTAGAAGCTTATTGTTTGATTTAACATGAAAATTTTATATAGAGACAAGAAAGGAGAGGAAAATGTAACCAGCTGAAGGTTAGGTTTTTTAAAAAATGCCACAATGAGCATTCACTCAATATTGACTTAAAGACTCTGAATAGTGAAGATTAATAAGAAGTGTTAAACTTGTCATTTATTTCCCATTTAAAAAAAATAAACTGAGCATAGGAGGTTGGAATTTCACAGTATGTTTCCTTAAATGTTGGGGTTGGTTCAAGGTAAGATGCAAAGAATTATTTTATTTAGTAGGAAGTGCTGTTTTTTTAGCTGAAATTTTCATCCTGTTGCTGTGATGATTGAGTGACTGTCACTGGAAGACATCTGGGTTTTTGTATCAAGGCCAGACTTGGCTATTACATTAACAAGAAAATTAAAACTTACTGTTGCAGGAGCTGGGGTGGGAGGTGGGGCATAAGATGGTCTTTCTGTTTGAAAGAAAATAAATAACTTCTTGTAAACAACTGAGATATAATACTATGCAACAAAACTACCAATGGTCCTGTTTTGAAGAAAAAAAAAATGAGAGTATTTTGGAATTCCCATTTGCTAGGGCATTAGTCTCTTATTAACATAGATTGATAAATATAAAAATTGAAACTTACTTGACATTTTGGAAGATTAAGTTCTCAGTTCCTTAAGAATGAATCTGAGACACTAAAATAAAAAAAAAGAAAAAAAGGAAAAAAAAAGAGAATCAAAACTCAGCAAGCATGAGAATGTTTTCCTAAAGAATAGGGAAATTTAACTGGTATTTCTGAGTAAAATTACTTCACCTTATCTCCCAGTAATCAAGCATTTTGCATATTTTACTCATTCTTGGAGGTCATTTGGTTGATTAGAATTAAATGGCTAAAACAAGTTACTGGGATATTTAGAAATATACTTTCAGGTTTTTTCTTATGATACTAAGCTACCTCTTGTATGGAAAACATTTTGCTGATGTAATGTAAACATTTAATAAGACTGATAGAAAGATAATGACAATAGAATGTGATGTGTGTCCACCCCAACAAGGCCTACCAGATACTGACAGCTCCCTGACAGGCAGCTCTTCCCTGCTTTTAGGGTAACAACTTTTAATGAAAATAGGGCAGCATTTTATTCCGGGAAGTGGTGGAAAAGGTAACCGGTATGATAATGAGCTTCACCTTCTCTTATAATGGTAAACAGCTTCGTAAGTGCTGGGAATAAATTTTGAGAATTTATCTGAAAAACTTTTATTCATCCTTCACAGCCCATTTCAAAATTTATATCCTCAATGGAACTTTCTTGATAAATTACCTGGGCAGAATTAATCATTCCTTCTTCATCTGTATTCCCATCCTGTTTACACAGATCTATCATATTGCTTATTATAACATTTTTTACCTATCAATATGGCTAGATTGTGTGCTGCTTGGGAACAGGGACCATCTAATTTATTATTGTATTCCCAGTATCTAGATCAATTCTTTAAGAAATTTTGTCCTAATATTACCAGCTCACAACATGATCAGACACATGTGAGCTTGTTTTTTACACCAATATACACCACAAACAGTAAGGTACAAAGAGAAAAAAAAAAATTCATTTTGAGAAAGAAAGCAAACTCCTGCTACTACTGGAGTACTTTAATAATCCAACGTATGTGAAACAAACATGATTTTTTACTTCTATTTTGCATTTTAAGGAAATTCCCTGGAGCATTAGGATTAGGAGTCCTGGTGTAGAAATAAACAGTATATTTTCTCAATGGTCTGACCTGGGTTTTCCTCTTTCCTTAAAGAACAGCCAGAAACCTTTGACTCTAGTGTACATTTCCTTCCTGCTCACATTAAGGGAGCTGTCATCATCCAGCCGGCCTTGCTGTGGGGAGCCCTGACAACTGCCACAAGCTCCCTGTACATTACACTTTATTGTTAACACTTTAAAATTATTGCTCTCCTTCGCCAGAATATAAATTCTAACAGTGCGCTTGTACATTTGTCCATCCCTGGTGCCTGCCATAAAATAGATACTCTGTATTTGTTGAATAAGTACCTTACATGGGATAGGCTTATTACACTACAACACTTAACAATCAACGACAACTCTTGAGATGTGTCCTGCTATCCTAATTTTACAGATGAAAAAGGGAGCCTTGGAGAGTGTAAGTGACTTGTCTAAAGCCACGCAGCGAGGAAGGGCCAGAGTTGGGTTTCAAACCCGGGCCAAACTGTTTTCGGAGATTTTGCTCTTCACTCCAAGCCACACCGTGAGTCCTCCAGTCGCTGCCGGACCAGAGAAGGAACCACCTTCCTGGGGCTGAGAACCACCAGCTAGTCTTGCCCCTAGGGCTTCCTGTAAGTTTGTCTTGGAGGATGCACTCTACTAGAAATTCCCCTAAAGGGGAGTATGCACAGGTGCTTTGACCGATTTCGGGAGGTTAGCGTAAGAAGCAAATCTTGCCTCCAAGGAGGGGCCCCAGATGGGGCTGCCTCCCAACCCTCGCTCCGCTAGGCCTCAAGGAGGCCGCCACCGGCTCCCAGCTCTGGCTCCACGGTCAAGCCTGAACCCCAGCGACCCCGCGGAACTCGGGTTCCAGCCAAGCGGGGACACTACCACTCGCCCCCTCCGACCCGGTCCGGCCCACTTGAAAACACTCACCCGCGGGCAGAAAAAGCGCCCGCAGCTCCGGCTTCGCTTCCCTTTGTCCGGCGCACGCCCCGCCCCTCGCGTCCGGAGCTTCCGCACTCGCACTTTCAACACTCTCCTTAATTATTTTTCTGGGCCCTCCCCGACTCTTTTGAGAAAAATAAGCCTTCTAGTGAGGTCGCAATGACGCTTAGTACAGTCAAGGATTTTTTTCAGGCCTCACAGTTTCCTCAAAACTCCCCGAATTTGGATATTTTCCCAGCCGGGCGCCGATTCGTCACAGCGAAGAGGGCGGAGGAAGCCCGACCGCGGGATAGGCCCGGATTTCGCGGCTGCGAGGCGCTGGAGCGGCCGCGGCGACTGGGGCTGCGGCGGGAGGTGCCGGACTGTGCCGAGGGGCGGTGGGGGCCGCGGCCTGGGCTTCCGCGTGCGGGGCCGGGCGACGGCGGGAATCGCTCCAGGGCGAGGCCGCACTTCTGCGGCCGACTGGGGCTCGCGCACCTCGGGCCAAGCTCTGGCTGAGCCCGCCTCCGCAGGGGTTACCCACACGCCCTGGTCTTTTTTCTTCCCTCTTGTGTGTGAGCAACAGTGTATACTTTAGCAAGCAGAGGATGGAGGCGTGGAGGACTCGGTTCGCGGCGTTTGCGTCCTCACGGGCTTCTCGCAGGGCTTCCTGCCTTAACGGCTGGGTCGTAGCCTCAGCGAAAAGCAACACGAGTTTTGCAGTTTTCCCAAGCGCTTTCAGAGTGCGATTGCCACAGGTTTCTGAGCCAAGGCCCAGAGATGTTTAACCCCCTTGCACCAGCGCCCAGGGATGCCAGCTGCTCTCTGCCCCAGCGCTGCCTTGGCTCATCCGGTTCCCGCCAGCAGGAACGAGCGTCCCCACTTTGAGATTAAACTCATCTGTCCTTCCGCATCCAGCTCGAAGGTCTCTCTGTGATGCCCTCTTGGAACTCCCCCCACCCCCAATCCTTCCTTTGTACTCCCATGGCTCTTTGGTAATAACTATTGTCCTCTACATGGCCCTTTGTACTGGGCTGTGTTTGTCATCTCCAGTGCATTATGAAAGCCTTGAAAGCAAAGGTTCAGCCATCCGCATTGGTCATCTTCTTATTGCCAGTGCCTACTAAGGGCTTGACCCATCTTTTGATATTTAGTAAAGGTATATCGAGGCAGCACTCTGTTCTACTCCAGGGCTCTTTACACAAAATTGTGGGTAAATGGTTTACCATATGGAGTGAGTAGCCTCTCCCTTGAATATATTAATATAAACACCTGATGGATGTTGTGGGCCACTATGGAGGGGGAATGAATAGATGGAATCCCTGACCTGCAGTTACTTGAAAACAGTGTTGACATTGAAAGAGAATGGCTACGTTCTTGGGTTGCCCTTAGCCCCCGTCCTGGGTATGCCAGCAGGGACTGGGACATCTCTAGAAGTCTGCAAAGCCAGGGACAAGTGATATTCTTTCCAATTCTTCCACCTTCAATATTTTTGTACTGATGAATAGAGATTAATGAGATTGAAGAGCATATTGGAGGGAAGGGCTAAAGGAGAGGTCCTTAAAGGATAACAGCCTGAGTGGTACTTGAGATAATGTACATGAAATTGCTTTTTTAATATAAAAGCATCAGAGCCATGTAAAGGATTAATGGAAGATACATGGAGGCCTCAGTGGGGATCCCAGTACCTTTCTTTCTCTGGCTTTGTGCAGCAACTCCAGCATGGTTTCTTTCCTGCCTTTGGGGTTGCGATGGGGGGATTGGGCAAGTGCAGTGCTGGGGAGATGCTCTGTTGTGTCATCTCTAGGCGTCCTCTGAAGAAAAACTTCAGGTACTGGATGTTAGGAACAAAGCACACTGTAGTGGGAAAGAGGCGGCACAAAAATGGTGAAAAGGGAAAGGAGAGGATTTAAGTGGTGCAGTGACAGTGATACACTTTCTCACCTCATTTTTGCTGAAATGTCACCTTCTTAGTAGGTCTTTCCTGACCTATCGATGATTGCAACTCATTCCCCAACCTCCACTCTCTATTCATGGTCTGTGCTGTATTTTTTTTCTGTAGCACTTATCACCAACTAATAACATACTATACTTTTTGTGTGTTTATTGTGTTACCTTTTTCTTCCCATCAGAATGAAAGCCTTGGGGGTGGGGACTTTTGACGTCTAGAATAGTGGATGGTAGATTTAGGTGCTCAATATTTGTGGACTAAATAAATAAATGACTATCTTATCTTCTTCCCTTGGTTTTTTCTCTACTCCCAAAGGTTTGAAAAATTCAGAAAGGAAAGATATAGACAAAAGATAATAGAAAAAAAATCTGTTTCCTAGTCCTGAAGAAATTAAAACTGAAGAGTGAAATATCCAGCAAGATGCATTCTACTTACACTGAGCTTTTTCCCCTGAAAGCAAACATTGGAACATATGATCTTGCATATATAAGGATATCTGTGGAAACTACAGGACAGATGTTTGGAATCATGATTATATTTGAAAAGTACGGATGCAACATTAATATGACTATTTAAACTGTGTGTAACTATAAAGGTTGTCAGGAGCTCTCACATGGGCCTAGTGGTTAATGCCACAGATAGTCTTAGGTCCAAAGTAGTTTGGTTTTCTTTCTGGTAGCATGATCCAGAAACTTGGCCTGCTTTCCTCTCTGACACTACTCATACTTTCTTGGGGTCCTTTTCCCCACAAGGCAGGGAAGGCAAGACTAGTAAGTGATTAAGCTGAGGTTCAAGCCCAGATCTCTTGGAGTTCTTTCTATATTGCTGTGGGAAGAAACTGGTGAGACAGATAGGATTAGGTGCAGTAGGAGAACTGTGACTGGGAGAGAAGAAGAAAGGAGAAAATGGGAGAGAAAAAGAAACACCTGAAGTCCTTGGACACCTAGTAGTTCATGAATAGGCTCTAAGAGGTCTATAAACCCTTTAATATTATACACAATTTTTATGTGCTTTGTTCCAGATGGAGGGTGAATAGCTTCATCAGATTTCGCAGATTCTGGTCTGCGATTCCAGAAAGATTTTGAACCAAACACTGAGCCATGGAGTTTGTAGTATGTTCTTATGAAGACTTTTTTAATGGATTTTTTTTTCTTAAAATAGGGACAGGAAGAAAAAAGCTTTACCTTACCCAAATAACCTATAAAAGTCTTGTTATAGACAAAATGGTGAAACAAGCTAATTTTCTCAGCTATTTCTGTGAAAACAGAAGGAGCTATGGGTATTCAGTTTCTGTTGCTAAAAATAGTTGTGAAATATTGAAGCTTATATTTCCAGGACAGTGATTCATAATGTTTTATAGAATTTCAAACCATGGTTTGCTTTTACAACCCTCTGTGTTGCCCTGGAAATAACCTTAAGGATTTGGGACGTGAGTTTTGCCACATAATGTGGAAAAGGATGAACATGTTTGAAAATGTGATGGGCCTGGAGAATCTGGGGTATGGATCTATTATCCATTGATAATATTGGGGATCAAGGCCAGGGCTGGCAAATGATTGCTGTGGGCCAAATGTAGGCTGCTTCCTGTTTGGGTAAATAAATTTTTATTTGGACCCAGTCACCCCCATTCATTTACATATTGTCTGTCTGTGGTTGTTTGTGGTTACAAGGGCAGGGTTGCATAGTTGCTACAGGGATCCTATGGCCTGAAAAGCCTAAAGTATTTGCTATCTGGGCTTTTACAGAAAAGTTTGTCAGCAGGTTATTAGGAAGGCCACCTTTCACCCTGGTCTACAGTCTAAGTATATGAGGGAAACTTGGAAAAGCCTGTACTGATTTTCATATATACCTTCTTTCAGAACTTACAAATATCGGCCATCTGTGTGCACATGCTGGCCATAACTTGTAAACATAGAAGCAAATTCTGCCTTGTGAACAAACTTTCCTTTGATTCTATGTGCTGATAATATGAGTAATGTATATATGCATACTGTTTAACTAAAATTTAATTTTTGCCCATGTGCTATGATAAGTTTCCATTTGAAACTTTCAAATTCATTTAAGCATTTTTTACCTAAGAGATTTTTAAAAAAAAAAATTTTAAAAACATGCATTAAGAAAACAAACTGAAGGGCAAACTGAATTTTGACAATATAAAGATCTCTAACAAATCAATAAGAAAATTGCTTAATGTGCAGTGTTAATTGTATATAACCACATAACAAATTGTCCCAAAATGTAGCGGCATAAAATAATAATCATTTATTATCTTTAGAGAACATTTTTGTACTTTGAAAATTATCATGGTAGAATACTTCAAATTGAGTAACTCATTGGGAAAGAATATTTTTTTTCTGGCAGCAATTGAAGAATTAAAACTAGTATCTTTACCTGTTGTGTTTTGAACTATTACTTAATCATTGTCACCTATAGTTTTCCTCACAAATTCTTCATTCCCAAAGACATTTTTATGCAAATACTGCTGTACACTTGAGCAGTGCTTTACCAAATCTTTTCACATGTATATTATTTCAAACAACTGTGAAGTAGGCCGGGTAGGAATTATTACCAAGCATCACCTTTTCCTTTGTTTTCAGGTGTAAAAATTGAGGCCTAGGGGACTTAACGTGATCCCTCCTGGTTACATGGTTATTTAGTGACAGGGCTAGAATCCTATAATTGTTAGTAATTGGAATTATTCTTTGTTTTTGTATTTTGTTATGGAAGCATGCATGTGAAATATTTCAGAGATATTGAAGAATATTAATTTCTAGTCATCTATAAAACAAGGATAACATTATTAATTTTGTAGGATTGTTGTAAGGATTAGGGATTATGTATGAGTCTGATGGGCACAGTGCCTGGAGCCGAGTAAGTGCTTTGCAAATAGTGGCCACTGCTGTTATACTTTTCCCAGAATTAGGGGATTATGTGATTATTTTGATTTTTTAAAAAAATTAGAATAAAATATCAATACATTATTCTTAACTTTTCTTTTGTAAAACAAGTTAAAAGTCATCTATCTACTGTGATTGCAATTTTCTTTATTCCCCAAATGAGCCAACTATATTGGAGCAATTAATTCTTTGTTTTGCTTAACCATGCAGAGATATCTTTGAACTAAAAGAACTTTATCAAACTCAAATATAATGCAGCTTTAGAATCCATGATTCAATTTTTTTTTATTGTAGTGGTATCATTTACTTTGGTAAATTCATATCCCAATTTAAAATGTTCTAAAGCAAATAAAACTTTGTTATAAATTTCAGTACTGCGTTTTTAAATGTACATGTTATACGCACAATAGATACATAGTGGAATTACTTTAATAAGCAGTTACATTCATGATGCCCAGTACTAAGTTTTTAACACTGCAATAGATTATGCGTGATATATTTCTTTATTATGATTACCATTGCTTAATACAGCAACTTTAATACAATAGCTTACATGATTACATTTTTAAAGCTTTAGTAAAGTTAGTAGCATTTAACAATATTGAATGAAACATTGTTATGTATAGGATGTATTTTCTGTCAGATGCTTATGCAAGAATAAGCACTTAACATGCTGTTATATCCTTGACAAAACAAAATCATCCCTTTTCACTAAATAGAATAAGCCAGACTAAAAGGAATCCGAAGTAATTGAAAGAAAATTAAAAATTTTATATCCCTGTGTTATGTTAAAGATTATTTAACATAATTTTCTCCTGGTTTAAACATACATTTTTTTCTGGTTGAGATATATCATATATCTCTCTGAGTGAGAGAGAGAGAGAGAGAGAGAGAGAGAGATTTTTAAAGGATGTACTAAAATGCTAACATAGTTGTAGCCCTTAGATGATACTTTAGCTGGAAAAAAGTATGGTGAGTTGTACTCAACCATTTTCTTTGCTTAGAAAAAAATTTAATAGCCTATAAATTTCTAATATCTTAAAACAGGTATTTATTATTTAAGGTCTTAAAATAAATACACCTGTATTAAACAAATTAAGTTGTTTTAAAAACTTTGCAACAATACATCACTTATTCACAAATATATTTTCTAACCATATTTATTACAGTTCGAACAATTTAAAAACAAATCCTGCAAATACTCTTAGCTTAGATAACAATACTGTTATCTTAGTTCACATAAATGGTTGCAAGAAATATTAATATTTATAATATTTCATATAGTATCTTATCTAAGGCTCATAGCAAATATTCTAATCACATTTAACTTTGCAGATGGAAAAATTGGGATGATGAGAGGTTGGATAAGTGTTCTAGTAACTATAGTAACTACTTTTTCAATTTGCTTTTCATGTTTTGTTTGTGCAGCTGGCCTTCTGATTTTTTTTTGTGGAGGGGACACAAACTTTAAAATTTTTTGAGTAAAGTAACTCTTCTGGAAATCAGATACTGATTATAAAAAACTTTCAGCTGTATGTAAATTAACTTAATTTTATTTAATCATCAAGTTAGCCTTGGGGTATGTCCTATAGATTGCTCAGAATTGCTCATGGAAAAGAACTCTTCTTATTTTTCTAAGTGTACAGATGATTGTCTCAAAAGGAGAAATCCTGGTTAAGTGAATAGTGAGTCCCCCTTTAAAAACATGTTTATAATTGCTTTCTTTTTTTGAGTAGAACAAACTTTTTAGGTTTAACCAGTCATGGAATAATGGTGAATAACTCAGTGTGCCTCTTAACACAATGCAATCATATCCAAACAAACTATTTTTTCCCTGGGGTATTCAGCCACTGAGTAAAATTACAAAGACTTGACTAAGCCAGGTTAATGATACGTTCCCTGATAAAATTTCAAGGGAAAAAGAAGACTATCTGAAGAATAAATAAAATAGAAACTGTACTGAATCTCTCATTTTATTTTTAAGCTTCTCCCCTCTCCAAAAAAATATACATCCATAATTCGATTCAGAGAAACTTTGTTTCTTTTTTTTTCCTCTGAAGAGAACCACACATTGATGATAACATTTTCCATATGTACTCAATAACTTATATTTGGGACAGAGGGGATCAGCACGGCCCACCTTGGTCCATCCTATCGTTATTTTCAAATCAAGTCAGACACTATCTTTGGATTAATTAGCTGCTGATGGAGGTTTGATAGAGGGGATACTGCATGATCTTCTCATGATTAATCTGACTTCTATATCTGGTAGATTATCCTGCTTAGTCTGTAAACACCCTTCATCGGTGGCTGCTAAATGAAGATCAAATCGAAGAGAAACAGATTTTTTCCTTAATCGAGGGTTATCTTTAAAGAAGGAACCTTCCCATTCTTTAATAACTTCATCCACTTTCTCTGTCCTGCAATGATAAAATAAACCTTTTTATAGGAATGAATATATTAGAAATATGTGGTATGTATTCCATATCTATGAAAAAATTAAGAAATTTGTATAATTTATAGTTTGCAGAATTTATAATGTATATACTTTAAAAATCATATGAATATAATTCCTAAGGAATTCTATGGAATGTCTCTGCAGGAATTCTCATATTTTTAGTGTATTTTTAGAAGAAATGGTGAATTAAGGATTGAGTACTCTTCCATCTGTGTTTACATATATTTTTATGTCAGATTAAAAATTACGGTATATTAAAACTATGTTTGGAAACATTCAAAGAAAATTGATTACTGGGATTACTCAATTGAAGTTAATTTCTTTACATATGTTTATTATTATTTCTCAGCCAAAGTTACTTTACTTACTGAATAGTGCCATGAGCTTCAGTGCTCTCCTTCACGATATTTCCATTTAATATTGCCTGCTTGGTCACTGTTTCCACTTTTTCATTCTCACACTTTTGTGGGACTTTCGTTGAAAAAGATATTTCATTTATGATGGCTGTGAAAATGTTATTTATGATATATTAAATTACAATGTTGTACTGTTCATAATCAAATTTTATGTCAAACTTTTATTCAAATATTGCTTGTATTTTGCTACTTTAGAATATTTAATTTCCTTGTACAGTAATCCCTGTAAATGGCACTTCACTTTTCAAGTTAGTTTGTTTATATCAGAAACTCACCTGATGGTAAAACAAAACCAACTCTACTTGTGGTAGGTTTTTGGTCTTTTTTCCCACCTTGGATACAACCATAGTATCTGAAATTGTAAAGAATTATATTACAGCAGCAACACTGTATTAGCAAATCATTGAAACAAACAGGAGAATGGATAAACTGTATTCATAGAATGGAAATAGTATTTAGCAGTGAAAAGAAATGAACTAAAGCTACACTGTATCTTTATGGATGGATCTCCTAAGCATAACATTGCGGGGGAGGTGGAGAAAGTAAGTTACAGCTAATTTTATAAAGGTTAAAATAACACGCAAAACAATTCCATACTTTGTTTAAGGATACACACATACTACTTTAAAGGAATGTATGAAACTAATAAGTATCAAATTCAGAAGCCAGGTTAGGTGAGTGGGAAGGATGAGATTGGGAAACGTGGTTTAGGTGTCCAGGGGAACTTCAACAACATTGGAAACCTTTTACTCTTTTTTATCTTTTTTTGGAAACATTTTACTTCTTAAACTGGGGGAAGTGGGTATATGGGTGGTCATTATATTTTTCTTGAAATTTTCTTATATATCTTAAATATAGCATAATAAAATTTTAAGAAGTATTATAGGAATATTAAAGATCATTTTATCAACATCTTGAATGATTAGGAATTAAAATTCACAATGATTTATTTTAATATGTATAGTTACATATATACATATTGTGTTATATATACATGTATACATATACATTATGTATATGTATATATATATACACACACACACACACACATATATTTGCATAGCACTTACAGTGAGCCAGGTATTGTTTTAAGCATTTTACAAACATTAACTCATTTAATGCTCACAGCAATCCTACGAGGTAGGTAATATTACTATACCCATTGTACAGATGAGAAAATTGAGGCACAAAGAGGCTAATTAAACTGCCCAAGGTCACTGAGCTAGTCAGTGGTATATTTTTAATTAAATTTATATTATTCAAAGATTTAGTAAATATCAAGATTTATTATAGGCTAAAGTTGTTTCATCTAGTTTTGCAGAGGACTCAGAGTTCTGAAATAAGCAAGAATAAAGATTTCTTCTTATGGGAACATGGAGAATTGCAGGTTTTGTCATGCTTGGAGCTATCTGACTTTATAAATGATTGTAGATTATGATGTATGAATTAGTAAGAATTCCTCTTTCTATACCTTTTCTTATCAGGACATCTGGAAGTCTTGTAATGATGACCCAGAATGATATTGCTTTCCATATTGCAATATAATCACATTATTATTATTATTCTTTTGGTGTTTGATGTGTGGGGTGAGCCCTTGCAGGGGTGATTGTGGTGATAATATGTGAATTTTCCAAGCTAATCCTAAAAGAGATGAATGGCAAGGAAAGTGAGAAAGTTAAGAAAGGTCATTTTGTAGTGATCCAGAATTATTTACAATTTGCTCTAGCTGACTTTGGCTATTTGGTTCCTAATTTTAGAAAGCTGGGAAGTTCTTCCACATGTTCTTTGCAATGTATACTAATCCTATTTTATTGTCTGAGTTTAGTGAGTACACCGTGGTGATGATGGTTTCTTTAGATTTAATTTCTCTGACTACATCAGCAATGACATAAGCTGTTTTGTATTTCTGGCCCCTTGTCGTTAACTATATGGAATTAGGTACCTGATTTCTTCCTTTTCTAGGAGGCGGCGATAAGTTGCTATTTCTTGTTCTAGCCTCATCTTCGTGTTGAGAAGCATCTCATGCTCTTGAAGCTGTTTTTCGATGCCGCGCCTTACTTCCTGTAGCTCTTTTTCCAGCCCTTCGATCACTGCCTCTAGGTCTTGCAGCTGCATCTGGTAATGCTGCTCACTGGCATGTAGGGAGTTTTCAAGGCCCCTTTCCTGTTTTACATAGATCTTCATCAGTCAATCAATAACACAAAATGTGTTTCTAAAACCTGATCTGCAATGTCTTCATTGTGTTCTATCCTTTCTTTAAAAAGGTTGCAAGAGTTGTATCTCACTTATGCAAGAGGTGTTTCCTTACAGCTTTGTGTGACCCCATGTTCAAAAAATTTATATTTTATATACATAACTAGAGAGAGCTTACTATAATTCATAGAAATCCTGCGATAATTCCTATGCCCCCCCAATCCTGCAGTGTGATTAACTTATTATCACTCTGAGTTATTTGATTTTTAAAATAATAAAAACATAGTATATTGAATATGAAAGCCAGAGCAGACTGCTTATAAAAGACATTTTAGGAAAGGACTTAAATATTTTTCTATTAGAAGTCTCAATGGCATGGATAAAAGAGTCCCCACTGATAAGACTTCGGATAATAACAAATACTCTGCCTTCCCATTTCAACATTTAGAGAACCCCAGGATGACAAGCAAGTATCACTTCATTTTTACAGGTGTGAACTAAACCTTGGATGAGTTGATAACAGCCACTGCTTAGTGGAGGAAGGTGGGTGGGTAATTTGAACTAGGATCAGGGATAGAATTCAGTGGCTTTGATTTTCAGTTTCTCACTGTAAAGTAATGGATGATATTCCTTTCCCTCTCGTAATCAAATAACATCTCGGGTCTTAATGGGATAGTTACTTCTGAGAGCATTCTTACCACAGCATGGAGAGATTCAATTTCCACTTGCAGGTGGTGCCACTGGCGTCGGGCTTCCTTGAGTTCTGCTTGAGCCGCCTTTAAAGCCTCCTCATCTTTGTCCATTTTTTTGCTTATATCTTCTTCTAGCTACAAGAAAGCCAACAACAACCATAACAAACAACAACAAAGAGCATTCTTGAAAATGAGATGTTCAAAAGCATTTATAGAAAAATTGTATAGGAATCAAATTATTTTTTTCTTTAAATTGTAAGATTACAAATGTGTGTCCACATACCTAGTTACCAATTAGTTAAATATGTGGGCAGGTCAATTGCATTCTCAGCCTCAGTTTTCTCTGATATAAAATTATTCTCAAAGTCCCTTCCAACTATGATAACCTATGAAATATGGAAAAGTACATCTATTTTAATGAAAAGAAACAGTTTGCAGGACCTCAATTTGTGACCTCTGATTCTTAGCTTTCCATTATTTACGGATCATTAAGGAAGAAGATTGAAAATTAGCTGCTATTTTCCCTTACATTTTCTTGTAAGCTGCTTTCTAAAAACAGATAAATAGTTATGCAACCAAAACTGACTGATTCTGAGTGTGTAGACTGGGAGTAAATACTGCTAGAAAGTATATTACTGGTAATGTAGAGAATTAAGTTGTCATAGGCATTAAGGCTCTGAAACAGACTTCTGTATTAAGAAAATCCAGTGTTGATTTACCTTTTTCAGAATGATGTTTTTGGAAGGCGTATTAATTTTGGGTATCTGGGGTAACAAAAATGACATCTTTAAAGATTGTGGCTAAATGTCCTCATATTGAAAAACAAATGGAATGTTTTATATTTAGCTTTAAATGTTTTTATGCTTATGTTGGAATTAAAAGAAAGTATCTGTTGACAGAGTTTTCAACATCTGGCCCCAAGAACAGTAGGAATAATGTATAAAACTAGTTGTAGTATTTTGAAACAAAAATCACAACTTTTTTATGTTCTTATAAAAATACAATTTAAAAATTAAAAAATTTAATTTGCACAATAGATTTTTTAAAAAAGGAAACATCAGAGTAAATGAAAGTCTATGAATAAAGTTTGGGGGAAGATATTAGGGAACAAAATTTATATGTTACTTTTGGTTTGTTGATCATTTGTTCTTAGAGTTAACTTGGCAAATTCATACAGCAAGCAACACATTACCAGAGCAACTACAAAAGAGTAGGTAAAGAATTTTGGAAATATGAAAACATAAAAATGCTGGTATCTACTGGTCTTGTGGGTTCCAGGTATGGAACTGGCACCTAAGCTTGTGTGGTAGCTAGATTCACAAGATCGCCTCCAATGAACCACATCTCCCAAAATTCAAGTCCCAGTCTGGTCCCCTTCTACACTGAATCTGGGCTGACCAGTGTCTTGCTTTAACTGGTAGAATGTGGCAGAAGTGAGACTGTCCCAGTTCTAGGCCTAAGCCTTAAGAAGCCCTGACAGCTTCTACTTCTATGCTTTTGGGAGCCCTGGGCCAACATGTAAGAAGTTTGAATATCCTGTTGGTGAGATCATGTAGAGAGGTCAGATGGAGGGAGAACCTGAGGCTATATGGAATGAGAGAGAAAGAGGCCCCGTTGTCCCAGCTGAGCGAGCCTTCCAGCAATCCCCTGCCAAGGTGCCAGACATATGAGTGAGCCACCTTGGATGTCCCAGCCCAGTCATGCCCCAAGATGACTGCAGTCCCAACTAACATCATGAGCAGCACAAGACTCTCTCCCATTGAGCCCCATCAACCCACAGAATCATGAGAGAGAATACAATCAATGGTCACTAAGTTTTGGGGTGGTTTGTTATACAGCAATTTGTAACTAAAACAGCTTATGTTTCTTTATTTTATAATAATTAAATAACCAGACTTTCTCGAATTTATTTCAGCTAACTTTCCAAAATAGTTGGGAAAAAAATCCTCTAGTTATATGTTAAAAAACACTTTAAACACAACTGTAGTCTTGTTTTTTCATTTGAATTTACTCATTTCAGTATTGTGACTTGTAAACTAAACTTATATTTCTACTGTTGCAAATTATTTAGTTTATATAACTTTCAGAAATTGTCATCTATTAATTTTTTCCTTATCTTTGTAAAAGGTGAATGAACTATTCCAACACTTGAATGTCCCAGTGACTTTGCTTAATCTAGGATACTGACCAATTTTTATGAAGGCTGAAAATATTACTCAGTGGTGAAATTTATAATGTTACTAAAAATGAGTTGCTAATGGAATAAAGGCCTGTGGTTTCTTAGCAGTATTTTTCTCTTTTGGTGATGTCTTTAAATAAACTTTTTGCTGTATTTGGTGTTTGAAATAGAACTTGAACCCAGATATGATAGACACATTTAAAAAAAAACCCCTAAATTTCTGAATTTTTGTTTCTAAAATATTTGTTTTTAAATTTGTTTAAAGATTTGAGAGCTTAATTAGTTGCTGGAAGTGACTGTCACTTTTAATTGATATGAAATTGGATTTAGCTCTTATCTAAGTTGGCTCTCTTTCTCTTTTAATACTTAAATATTGCAAGCTTTGAATCAGAAGTAAACATTTCTCATCTTATAGTACAAAAGCAAAAATCTATAATCTAAATGGAGAATCATTACCAATTTGGGGAATTTTGATTGTCATAATTTATATCATTGTTTCTGAATGCCATGCTCACATACTCAGATGATTTCTATTTATAACAATCTGGCATAAAACTGAACTCATTAAAATGATGATAGAAACCTTTTAGAAATCTTTTGCTTGGTTTTATTTTTAGAAAGTGTACATGATCATAAATCTTACTATAAAGCTTTTCATTTTAAAGATGTTATTTAAATGATCTCTATAAATAACTCCATAATATCTTTGAAGGGTATTTGAAATGCTTCCTTCCTGAAGAAAGTCTAAAAGAGGTTAGAGTGCACTATTTTATTGCATGTTGACCTCATGTTTCATTAATGATAGGAACCTCATAATTTACATAAAAATCAAATGCATCAATCAACATTTATTTAATGGTAATTTAACAATATAATCACAGTATTTCCCCCTGGAGTCCTAGTCACATTGCAGTAGAACCTAAATTCCTTCCCCAATATATGCTGCGTTGAAAAGGAAATACTGTACCTCAGAGAGGCCGGGACAGGAATTGGGTAGACATGGACTGTCTCCTTATTCTGGAAGGTGCCTGTCTGTATGAAATCATTACCTGGATCCTTGTTGAGAGCACCGTCTCTATCTGATTTCTGGTGAGGAGCTTTTCATAGTTTGCCCTGATCTCATTGAGTAGCTGGGACAGTTCCATTCTTTTCCCATCCTCCACCTTGGCTAACTGAACCTTATCGATAGGATGAGTCGCTGCGGCAGAGCCTGCTCTGTCTGCGCGGAGAGCAGAGAGCCCCGCGGAGCCTTAAAGATGCAGAGCTCCTTTTTCAGAGGCCAAGGAAATTCCCGTCTTTCTAATCAATTATGCAAATCTGCGGTAAACCCTTTGCTTCTATTGTTGTTGGGATAGTAGAAACGAAGGAAAGGAAAATAAAAACATCCCCAGTATTCCTGCATTAGTTCCCTGTAAAAAGGAGCACTTTGGGGGGAAAAGAGTTCATTTTTGTGGAAAGGAAATGGGGCAAAAAAGAAAGAAAATTATATCTAATTTTCCCAAAATATTGCAGGGAAATAAATCTGGGTCCAACCCATGATAGCTAAAATTTTCTTTTACAGTTTTCCTCACTGTTTGGATTCTTTAAATAGAAGTTCTGAGGTAGATCACTAGAATATGCTGTAAATCTTAAATATTCTGACAGTTATTGGAAAAAGCGACCATCGGATTAAGTTGGCAATTGTCATCAGCCGCAGGACCGCCCGACGATATTTCTCTGAAATGCGCGCTGTGTAGCTCATGGCGGACGCTAGCCTGATAGATAGAGTGTGATGTATTGAGGTGAATTTCTGAAGGCACGTCACAGATGAAGCTCTAGCTAGAGACAAGTGCTAATGGAGTATGAGAGCTGCAAGGTAACATTTCCAGTGTTTTAACAGGGTTGAAGAAATAAAAGCGTTTGGTCCCTGTGGAGGGTGTACCCACTGAGGTATGATTTACTGTGGGATTTCTCCTTCATTAGTGAACATATAGTTAATGACAACTCATTCCTGGAAATAAAACATGTGCAGCTCTTCTTACTTAAAAAAGCAGCTTCTTCTAATTTTCACAATCCCTGACATTTTGTGACCTGTGAAGATGAAAAGAGGGAGGCCAGAGGAGTTAAAGTGTCTTGCCCAAGGCCATGGTCATATAGTGATGTAATGACATCACTGGGACTGGAGCTCTGATTACTTGCCTGTATTCCACATTTTGCCCCGTCTGCCCCTGCATTCTCTCTGTCCCCACCTAAATTCCTTATTCAATCTGGCTAGCTGGTTGGTGGATGTTACCGAAATATTTTTGGGAATGGCTCTATCGTTATTGTTATGGGTAGAGTGGCTTGGCTGAATCCTACCTGGGGCATAGTTCACAGGGCCTTTACAAGTGTATCTTGCTCTTTTATTTCTGAATTAACTCATTTCTGGCCAGGCCAATCTGTGCCGGGCATTCCCACAGTCCCAAACAAAGCTGGCCCACCCACAGTCCCTGCTGAGAGGAGAGGTTCCAGGTCATTCCTGGACTCTGTCTAACCGGACTCACCCCTTCCCCACCTTCCCCACCCTCCCCACCAGTCACGACTAGACAATCCGTAGATTGGTCAGAGCCCTATGAGGTAGCATGACACGAAAAGCTCTGACTAAAGAGGGTCACCGATGATTATCTAGGCCAAACTGATTCTCTTTCTTGGTAATTGAGACTGAAAAATATGAAGAGAATTAGGCTTGGTAGTGGAGGAGAAGGAAGAAAGCAATGAATTCAATTCCTAAATTAAATTCAGGGAGCAATGAATTAAATGCTCCTTGCTACTTTAGGTAGCTCCCGCTAATGTCTGCCTAAACCACAGAGAGCTGAACTAGACTCTCTGGAGAGCCGTTCCTGGCAATCTGCCTTTTAAAGGGGTCTCCTAGGTATTTCTTTTTTTTTTTTTTTTTGGAAAAAGTTTGGTCCTGTTTGGCTGAAGTGAGTGCCGTGGCGTCAGCCTAGCTCACAGCAACCTCAAACTCCTGGGCTCAAGTGATCCTACTGCCCCAGCCTCCCGAGTAGCTGGCACTACAGGCATGCGCCACCATGTCCAGCTAATTTTTCTATATATTTTTAGTTGTCCAATTAATTTCTTTCTATTTTTTTTAGTAGAGACAGGGTCTCGCTCTTGCTCAGGCTGGTTTCGAACTCCTGAGCTCAAACAATCCGCCCGCCTCGGCCTCCCAGAGAGCTAGGATTGCAGGTGTGAGCCACCGCGCCCGGCCTCTTCTAGGTATTTCTTATGCACCCTAAAGCAGTGCTCTCCAATGGAAATATAACGTGAACCACAAATGCAAAACCACATACGTGATTTTCAACTTTCTAGTAGCCATATCAAAAGATATAAGCAAAAGCAGGTGAAATTAATTTTAATATTATATTTTATTCAACCTGATATATCCAAAATACAGCAATCAATATAAAATATTAACGAGATGTTTTACATTCTTTATTTTTGATACCGTCTTTGAAATCCCAAGTGCATTTTATACTTATAGCCCATGTCAATTTGGACAAACTGCGTTTAAAGTGCTCAATAGTCATGGGGCTAGTGGCTACTGGGTTGGACAGTGCAGCTTTAAAATTTGGGCTCATTCAGATGAGAGTTCCATGCCTGGAACACTTTGAATGCATACTAGATTAAAGGAAATAGTGCCAGATTTCTTTTGGGGGGGTAGTATTTAGAAAGGTATTTTACAAGCATGTGAGTAATGAAATTAACTATTTCTAGATCTCAAATTTCATTTTTCAAGGAAAAAATATTGCCACTTTACTTTCTAAAAATACTGTCCTTTATTTAAAAAATTTGTAATAATAGCACATAAAAGGCCATGGCACTTATAAAATTGAGGAGTCCACGCAATTCTTGGTGCACGAGCTATAGTTACAACCTATTATGCTTCAGAAATCATAACAATGCATAAGCAAGGGTGTCATTCTTATAGGGATTATCATAAATCCACTATGGTTATTAGAAAAGAAAATAATTGGAAAATGTGTTTTATTAATGGGAACAAGTTAGTCATAACACACCTCATAACGGCTAATTCTGTAGTTGAGGACCTCGGCTCTAGGGATATCTGTGACATGTCTGTATGTCTGCACATTGAAATCACTTGGGGAACTTTAAAAAATGGTGATGACTGTGTCCTCCTCCCAGAGATTCTGATTTAATTATTAATAGCTCAGGATGTGACCTGGGCATCAGGATTTTAAAAAACTCCCCAGGTGAGTCTAATATGCTGCAAAGTTTGAGAGCTACTGTTTCAAATGTAAGTTTTCTTCTGCTCATTTCTCTCTCATTCTTCACCCAGAGGAAATGGGTTGTTAGTACAAGTATCTGAAGTTAAGATTCCCACAGTTAAATATCGGCAAGTAGTTTGTGCTGCACTTGGTACAATTGTGAGTCCATGGGCTCAGGCAGTAAGACATATACATTGCTTGAGCTCCCATTCTATAGAGGATGTACATCAAATCTCATCAGTTGGGGCCCCTACCTTTTCTCCAAAGTGCTGCATCTGAGTTTTAGGGCAACTTATGTAATTGTGACTAGGAGGCCATGTTGTCCTTGATGCTATCTGTCCAAGGCTATGTTCACTAAGACAGTCATTATTATTTCCACCTGTCCCATCCACCTTGTTGGGGAAATATAATTAAAAGCAAAAATCTTCCCTTAACCCAGAAATCCTTTCCACAAAAGTAGGAGAGAAAGAAAACACTTTTATTATTGAATAAGCATTAAGTCAGTCTGTGATATGCATCACAGTCAACCTGCTGAGAAATTGCAAAGACAGAAGGAAATCTCATCCTTTTATATAGCCAAGTAGATACAATCTATTACATATATATTTTTTGAAGATAAACAATAAAAAGTTAGAGTAAGAGTACTTGACATCACCATTGTCACACATAGATCATCCTTACTTCACCTGGTAATTTGGAGTGATCATCTGCGTTAGCTACTTGGCCTTAGCCAGAGAAAAAACAAACTTCTCATATCTTTATGACAGGAGGTGGTTTTGTAACTTGGAGCAAGGCAACTGAGGAAGTTAGGCTCCTACTTTTCCACAGAAACTGGGAGACAGAAGTGCTATCTCTTTGATGTTTACATCTCAAAGAGATGGCTCCCAGGTCCTTGAGAAAGACATTCCTGGGCCATAAAGCTGACAAAAGCCTATCTAGTCCTTAAAAAGATTTACATGAATTTCCAAGAGAAGAAAAAGTACTTAACAATTAGAATTTTTCAAAAGCATTTACAATTAAATTCTCCCTGATTAAAAATTGTATTACAGAGCTATAGTAATCAAAACAGTATGGTACTGGCATAAAAACAGAAACATAGACCAATGGAACAGAATAGACAGCCCAGAAATAAATCTAAACATAATATGGCCAATTAATTTTTGACAAGAACACCAAGAGGACACAATGGGAAAAGAATAGTCTCTTCAATATATGGTATTGGGAAAACTGGATTTCCGCATGCGAAAGGATGAAATTGGACACTTATGTTACACCATATACGAAAATAAACACAAAATGGATAAAAGTCCTAAATGTAAGACCTGAAACAATACAACTCTTAGAAGAGAACATAGAGCAAAAACTTCTTAACATTGGCCTTGGCAATGATTTTTTTGGATATAACACCAAAAGTGTAGGCTACAAAAGCAAAAATAAATAAATGGCACTATATCAGACTAAAAAGCTTCTGCACAGCCAACGAAGCAATAATCAGAATGAAAAGGCAACCTACAGATTGGGAAAAATATTTGTAAACCACATATCTGATAAGGGGTTAACACCTAAAATTTATAAAGAACTCTTACGACTCAATAGCAGAAAAACAAATAACTGGGTTGAAGATGAGCACAGGATCTGAGCAGACATTCCACGAAACAATATATAAAAATGGCCAACCAGTATATTAAAAGGTGTTCAACCTCACTAATCACCAGGGAAATGCAAATGAAAACCACTACAAGGTATTATTTCACACCCATTAGGATGGCTGTTATCAGAAAGACAAGAGATAACAAATGTTGGCTAAGGCGTGGAGAAAAGGGAACCCTAGTACACTGTTGGTGGGAATGTAGATTGGTATAGCCATTATGGAAAATAGTATGGAGGTTCCTAAAGCAATTAAAAATAATAGAACTACCATATGACCCAACAATCCCTCTTCTGAGTATGTACCCAAAGA